ATTAATTTTAGTGTTGTGGTTTTGAAACTCTAGTTTGATGTTAGTTATGAGTATTTGATTAAACCTATGATTTGGGTGTTTTAAAGTATATTATGATGTTATACATAATATGGCCTATTCTCTTGAAAATGGAAATAATTTTAGTGTTTTGGGTTTGGAACTCTAGTTTGATTTTAGCTATGAGTATTTGATTAAACATACGATTTGGGGTTTTGAAATATGCTATGATTTTGTACATAATATATATGGTTTATTCTCTTTGAACTGGTTATGTTGCTTTGAAAATGCAACTTTTGAGATTTGAGCCTACTACATGTTTGATAAAATGTCAAGACTATGACATGTATTTTCAAAAGGATTTATGGATATGAAAATTAATGATTTTTGAAAGATGTATGTTCGATACAGACAGACAGAAGATTAGTAGACGGTTGGGGCCTATTGAGTGGGTTGCCAAGGCAGCTACTAGTCCTAAGGGTAATTGGTTATGGTAATGGTTTTCGATGATGGCATATGTGGTGTCACAAGTTGTGTCATACACGTTCCCCTTAAAAAGTAAAAAGGGCGATGAAACCCTATGGTGCAAGACCCAAAAAGTTTCCCGGGTATGGTTCATGCGTGATTCGGTGTGATTGATGATATTGTTCATATGCGAAGAATGCATAGTATTTGCTAAGATGGTTTGGATTTGAATATATAAACCTTTAATTTATACCTTGTATATTTCTAATATTGAGGTGTTGACAGATTTTTTTTATAATTGTTTTACTTATTGTCTTATACCTACACTTAATTATAGAAAGCTTTTATTACTTATTCGTATAATTTGTGAAATATTGATTTTTAAAACTTTGTAAATGCTTAGAAAAGAGATTATCCTACTAAGCGTGTAGTTACTCATCTCTTACTAATATTTTCAGATACTAGCATGCATCTTAGGGCATAAAGTGATGGAATGCTTGTGGGAGTTTAGACTAGAAATAATCTCTTTTGGAGCTTTTTTGTATTTATCTTTAGAACTTATTTAGAAATGTTAGCACTTAAGCACTGTGTTTGAAAAAGTTGTCTTGAGACATTTATGGTGTACACTTGATCATCCCATAGAGGTATTATTATTTTGGATATTGTAATGTAACATTATGACTTTCGGTACTAAGTTGTGGTATATATTGTTAGATGTATCTAGATTTGGGAGGACTTCGTGGGCATCTAATTGTCACTCCGTATTTAGTTGGATTATATTTTTGAATAGAAGCATGTTGTGGATGTTTAATTAATTTAAATTATGTTATGCTTTCACAGAGATGATCTTACTAACTAGTTGGAAGCCCAATTTTTAAAGCAAATTCTGTCGAAATTTTCAAAAAAAAAATTGATTTATTTCAACTAAAGAAATACTTTGCTAGATATTTTTACAACATATCAGCATGTGTTTTTTTAAATAAATAAATTATTTATTTTAATCACGCTTTTATGAAATTTGGGGCGTGACAGACTATAACCACCAAATAGTGTGCTACATAAAATGAACTTTACATTGTAAATTAATATATAGTTTTATCAAAAATTGACATTTAATATTGTCCAATTTATATTCAACTTTGTTTAATTAATATCAAATTAATTTTTATTGTTACCAAATTAATATTAAAATTTATGTAATCAATGTTTTGGTACTAAATTTAGTGAAGGGTAATTGTAAAAATAATAAAGTTTTTAGGATGAAATTATCAATTTTCCTTAGCAATATTGACAGAAGTGAGACATAGGGGGTCTCTATACAAGAAATTTTAAATCTCAAGGAGTCTCTGTGTTATTTATAAAATATCAGGAGGTGTTCTTGTAATATTACCAACATTCAAGGGATGTCCGCTCCGCTACGTTCCGCTTTGCTCCACTCTGTTACGCTCCGGCATCTACCTCCTTGCCATTGTGCACACAACAAATATGAGCCACACATACTCTAACAGAAGTTCATACACCCCCTTTTGCTCAAACCAAGAGACTGGAACGCCAATTCTATTGTTCATGGAAAGAGAATTAACTAACCAAAGTTTTGATCAAAATAGTAAGGGGCTGTTTAGTTGATTTTTTGGAAGAGGTTTTGATTGACTTGTCTAAACTCTTATAAATCCAAACCCCAATTTACAAAGATGAGATTCAACATTCATTTCCATCTATATCCATATTTAATAAGTGCATGGATATACCACTAGTATGACAATATATTTGTATATAAATAATTATTATGCCCCTTAAACAATTTAATTTAAACTCATGTTTATATACATACATTTTCTTGTGTCTTTATGGTTTTAATATTTGATTATTTTTCTTCCTAACTTTTGAAAAAAAAACATGCATGTATATATGTTACAGGTGCATGTGTAAACAGTGGCAATTTTTTTCTTATAATGATGACCAAGTTTGGAACCTCAATTATTGAATTGCCACGAGGAAAGGGGGTTGCTTGTGTTGAATAGGGTTATATGGGATATTTATGTAATTTTGTATATTGAATCCTTTAACCCCTATCTAAAACTCACCCCCACCGGATTTCATGAAATCCATGAGATTGGGTTTAAATTACGGGTCTAAAGCGGGTTGGATTTGATAATCTAGGCTAGATGTTTAAGTTGTCAAATGTGAATTTATTGTGTAATGTGAACTTTTATTTTTCAACTCATCTTTTAAATCTCCTTTGTCTAACATACCAAACAGGTCTAAAGTGCTTGGTTTGTTGGTTATGGTGGTGGAGAAGGATTGGGTCTTCAAAACACACGTCATTATATGTTGACAGCCTTATTGATCAATAATAAAATACTTCCTTTCTTTCCATTCAATACAGATAAGAATGAATGTGATAGCTAAAGAATTCCACTTCTTGCTTTGCCTTAATTCCTTTCCATTTCACGTTTGCCTGTTCCCTCAATTTGATGGTACTATTAATTAGTGCCTCGTCTTTTTCAAAGAAAATGAGTTATTAAGGTAGTTTTGGTAATCAGAGTTATTGTTTTTAATTTTTATCAAAATAAAAAATAAAAAACAAGTTTGGAGTGTGTTTTTTTTTTTTTTTATGGTATTGTGTTTTAAAAACAAGGCCCAAAATTACAAACATAAAAAAAAAGGTGTTTTTATAAACACCCAAAAACGAAAACACGTGTGCTCAAAGCAGACCCTTTTAATGAGATTCATCCTTCGAATCCCCTTAACAACAAAATATGAGATTTTTTGTGCTAATTATAAAAAACCCATTTACTCCCCTTTTTTCATCACTTTTCCTCCTCCTCTCTCTCTCTCTCTCTCAAACCGGAGCTTCTCATCTCTCTCTCATTCTCTCTGAAAACCTAATACTCCTCGTCTCTCTCTCTCTCTCTCTCTCTCTCTCTCTGTGTGAAATCGAAGTGACGAAATCGAGGCTTCTCATTATAGATCTCTTTCTCTCATCTCAATCGGTGGTTATGTGATGGGTTTCCTCATCTCAGATCTCTCTCCCAAGCTCAGTCGGTGGTTAGGTGTTGAATTTTTACGAGTGCTGGTGGTGGGTTAGGAGGTTGTGATGGGTTTTCGAGCCTTGGGGGGTGAGTTTTCGGTGGTGATTTTGGTGGGTTTTCTGGGTTGGGGGTGAGTTTTTAATGGTGTTGGTGGTGACTTTTCGGTAATATTGGTGGTGTATTTTTAGGGGTTTTGGTGGTGGGTTTCCAGGGGTGTTGCTGGTGGGTTTGGTGGTGGCTAAACAGGGGCGGTGGTGGTGGGTTTCCGACGGTTTGGTGGTGGCTGGGTGAAGTGGGTTTCATTGATTAGGGAGAAGATGTATTTGTGATTACAAAAAATTAATCAAAATAACTACAATGAAAACATTATTATAATATCAAACATATTTTTTTTTAATTTTTTAAATATAAATGACATGTTTTTTTATATTTTTAATTTTTATCACAAAAAAATACAAAAATTTATTCTATTTTGTTTTTAAAAAAAAAACATAAAAACGAAAATTTTATCAAATGATCCCTAATACGTCAAGATTTGAGTTCCATCACTAAGTGTTTTTTAGACTTGTTAAAAAGGTAAAATCTTATTAACCGAAGGTTGTGTATTATTGCACGCTTATGATAATTAAGACTATGTAAATATTACTCTGCTCACAAAAAATTTCATCAAAAACAAGTTTGGTTGTGGAATAAAAATCTAATTTTCCATCCCTATCATATATATATATATATATATAATATAATTTTTTTTTCATGCCACCTTAGTTGGACTTAGGATAGACTTAAGTAATAATAATCATTAGATTAACAATAAGTTATAATATTAGTTAAGTCCAGTCAATGAATAAAAATGCATTAGAAAAATAAATTAAATTAATAAATTAAGTAGGTCTAAATAATAAAAATAATAATAATTATTATTATGCAAATAACTCTAATCACACCAACTTTTTTTTTAATGTTTCGATTAATCCTCTCTATAATTTGAATTCGATCAAAAGGTTTATGTTATAAATAGATATGACTCAAAAAAAATTATTAAAATTTAAATTCAAAATATTTAAATTTACCATGTTTCTACTAAACTCACACCAACCTTCTTTCCACACTAATTAAAAGTTAAGCAATGAAAAAATCACCGACCATCGAAGCAATCAGCTGCCAAGAAAAAAATGTTGAATAGGATTGACACGAGGAAAACAAGAACACTGCATGCAGGCTATTTCCAAACAAAAGACAAAATATAGAAACAGAAAATGAAAAGCTGCAAAACGATCAAAAGATTGATGGGAGAAAAAGAAAAAGGAAAGAGAAAATACCCACAAATTGCCAAACACTTTTCAAAATCACAAACAAGCCCTCTATTTACTCTTCTCTGTAAATTTTCTGTTCAAAATGTATACAACTGACCAAACCCATTAACCCCAAACCCTAACAACACCCTAACCCCAAAAATTTCGCTGTGCCCTTCTTTACTGTTGTCTATTATTTTTACTGTGACTGAAACTAGTCTTCATCTAGAAACTTCGCCAACAAATCATCATCATAGTCGCCGGAGAAATCACCGCTGCCGATTCCTTTGACCGAACTACCCTCCTCATTTTCCCGATCCTCGATCCAACCACGCGCCTCTTCGGCGTCTGAAGAGAACGCGACAGCTTCCTCCACCGAGAACCACCCTGAAAACCCCCCAAACGCGCCCTTAACACCACTCATATCGATACTTGCCATGACGGACGAATCCAAGTCGGAGAACGACGATCCGCATGACTCTTCGTTTCCGTTGATGGTTATATACGACGACGATGACTGGAAAATCAAAGCCGACGAGTATGGGTCCTCGATGAACTTGACCTTGAATGGCTGCGAGGTCGTTATCTCTGAGTCCAAGAACTTCGATAGTTCGGTCACTGTGTCATCGTCGACGTTTAGCCAGGCCATCATGTCTTCGTCTTCGTCGGAGATTGTTTCTTCGTAGTTCGACGGCGTTTTTGGTCGTTTCCCGAAGACGTCTCCGGCGCCATCATACCCCGCTTGCCTCTTTCTGCTTTCTTCCATTTCTTCAAGAGAGAAAGAGACAACACTGGCTTCTGGGTGGTTCTTTAGAGCGATTGTTCCCCTAATATAGACCCATTTCTATGGGTGAGTACAGAGATGAGAGAGAGATAACGGACTGCATACGTAGAGTACTAGAAGTGGGTGTGTAATGTGCGTGAGCAGTAGAGAGGGAACGGAGTTGGGCTTAAAGGACTATAAATAGAGGGTCTGTTGTGTGTGTGAGAGATAGAGAGAGAGAAGGTGCCAGGGTGTGAGGGAAGGTGCCAGGTGGGTGGAGACGGATCGGGAGAGTGACGTGGTGGGTGGTTAAGGCTTGTGACGTGTCAAAAATGTTTCTGAAAATTATTATTAAAAATTGAAATGGCGGGAAACTGCATACTGAATTGGTGGTTCAGAAAGGACTGCCAAACAGGCAGTCCTCTCTCCTCTGGTGAAATAAAAGTAAAGTTGATCTCGAGAAATGTTTAAATTATTTCGGTTTTAGAACTAGGTTTAAATATATTTATTTTTAATTATATTTAATTTGTCTATTCATTGGAATTACCAATTGGTGATCATTTAGTGTTAATTTATTTATAACTAACGATACCCACGAGAGAAGTTATTATATCCTAAATTCTGATATTACGCGTGCATTAGAATATGTGTACAACTAGAATATATATATATATATATATATATATATATATATATATATATATATATATATATATGAGTGTGTATATAATGAGTGTGTATTGAAGTATGTATAGTTATGTATTATGGAATATTTGTGTTGGATTTGTGAATTTTGGGGAAGAAAATGTGTGATGGGTGTGTGAAATTTAAGGGAAAAATATACCCCCATAAATTTAAACTCCTAGTTATCTTCTTTTATAGATTTAAACACCTAGTTATCTTATTTTATAGATATGTATAAATTATGTGTAATTTTATATTATATTTCACTTATAGCATAAAATACACTTCTAATTGGAAAATATGTATTTAGTTCACAATCTTTTAATTGTATCTATTTGGTCATTAAGATTCCTAATTTGTGTCTAAGTGGTCAAATTCCAAACGTTTATCAGAAAATCGTCACGTTTCTGGTCACACGTTCATCATGTGGTTCCTAATTTTATGTTTATTTAGTCCTTAAAATTTTTAATTTATTTTATTTCACTTTTAAAATTCATAATTTGTGTCTATTTAGTCCCACATGATTGGCGTATGAACAAATACATTAACGATTTTGTATGGACGTTTGAGATTGGACCACATAGATACAAAAATAAGAATTTCAGAGATTTAATAGACATAATTGAAAGATTGAGGACCAAATAGACTCTACACACATACTTTGGGGGTTGAATGTATATTTTACTCTAAATTATATTTACTCAAGTTTGTCTTATGCTCAACCAGATTCTGTTGAATTATTTATGAAACTGGACAAATGAGACAATTCATTTATGAATTAGATCAACTGAGATCAAATGTATACTTATTGATTTTTTGTCGATTTCATATTGAGTAGATCATTCATCATTGATAAATAATTTTTAGAAGAGATTTCACCAAAATAATTACAAGCTCTATTATTCACATATTTTACGTAAATTAATCTTAGGATAATTGAAATCGATGGTTGTTCTTAAAAAAGATCGAAGATTTATTGGTGGGACAAAAGAGAATAAGACTAATCGGGGTAGTTTAATTGGTAATAAAGATGAATTATAAATTCAGATATCTTAAGTTTAAATATTATTAATTTTTTAGGGTCAAGACATGAGAGATTTAACCTTTATGAATACCTTAGTCTCGATACGAATAATTTATTTTTGATCGAATTAAGAAGAAGATTAATTGAGATGCACATAAATTGAATCAAATAATCCATACAGTTATGGGGTATTCTCTACCCTACCTACCCAGTATCTCTTGAAGATTAGGATGATTAGGTAAGTGAGACTGAGGCATGTTTGTTTAGCTTTTATGTACCTAACTATTCAAGCATCATCCACTTGCTTGAATGTTAGAAAAAAACAGGTTTGCTATACCGACGTGGCACAACGGACAAAATACTTCAACGTACGGAAGAAGCTAGAAACCGGGTAGGCAATGTTTGCTATAGCCTTTGACAAAGCGGTTTTAATTTGAGGCGGAGGAAGGCCGATGCGTTGTTGACGTTAGTTGGGAGTCAGTCAAATGCGATTCGCAGCTGCATCGTAAGTCTATACACGGGCCGTTATGTGTTACGATAATAAGACTAATAACTCCGGATAATAAATAATTGAATTTATTAAATTTAGGATTAATTATTTTTTACTCCCACATAGTTTTAGCTAAATTTTTTTTATTTATTTTACGTTTAAAATTATACATATTATCCTTTTATAATTATGTACTTATTAAAGTAAAATAATTAACGACATTAATAGAATTAAAAAATTACCATAATATCTACGTTTTAAAATTAAACGTTTTGTCTGTTATACTTTTGACCATAAAATTAATAAAACATGACAACAAACTAACCCATTTCAATCAAATATGTCGAGTCTCTTTGTTCTTCGAGTGAAGTTTTGATCTAAGATTTAAAATTACTTTTTTTTTTTTACATTGTTTTATCTGCGACTGATGCCCTACTTATTTAAGTATTATATCATATATTATAAAGGGTATTTTAGACACTTACACAATATTCTTTTGAAGGTAAACAATAGAAATAAAGCCAGAACATATTTTGGGCATGTGGAACACATTCTCCATTTACTTGGACAATAAAAGTAACTATTTAACTTTGCTACTAAACTACAAGAGGGTAACATGTATAATTTTAAGAGTAATGCTATATACACTTAAAAATTAGACTTGATAATCACAACTATTGAATAAGTAGTAGATCTCTATAAATGTTGAGATCTACAATGAAATTATTTATTATAATTATTAAGTTTAATTTTTAAATTTATATAACATTGCTCTAGTTGTAAGCGTCAAGTAGGTAAAATTATTATAGCCGAAATCACGAGGGGTAAAAAATAATTAAGCCTTAAATTTATCATATAATTTTATCGATACAAATCTGTTGCTCGATTTACACCCAAATTAAATTTTACAAATGAACCAAGTATAAATTGCATAAATTTATATCATAATACAATTTAAATATGATACAAACTGGAGACGAACCCGATTATCAGTCCTATTCTATACTGTCACTATGCAAATTCGAATGGTGAAATCAAACAACTTGTTTCTTTTCAAAAAAAATCATTAAGACAGCTAGGTGGTTTGGGTTGTAAAATTGGAAGTTAAAAGTTCAATTAGTTTGATGTGATGTGCATGTATAAATTCGAAATTTTGGGATTATACTCTTAAATAGGTCAGTATCACATAGACCTTGCAACAACTGCTACACAGCATTGGATTTGTGTTAGTTGATGCGGGTTATAACTACATTGACTTAAACTCATTGTATGAACTTTGTATAAGTTGTGAAAATTTTGACGTAATGCAACATTGTCCTTCATCGGTAAGGTAATGTTCACAATTTTTTTTTTGGTTCAAGAACATTCACATTACAATTCTACAACATTCACACAATTCAACAAAGTAAAAGAATTGTATGTACTCAATTTTCTCATTTGTGAATAGAACATTTCAGGGAATCGAAGTTTAGATGTTTTGCTTTGAAAAATAGAACTCTTAATTCAAAAAATGTTATGAACACACTTGGATACTCATCCACATTGAATGCCGAGGAACAACTAGGGATGTAACATTTTTGTTCTCGGAAAATGTTATACATATCAAAATTTTTATCAAAATAATTTTAATTGTTTATAAAATTATCATCTCATTTGATAAAAATATTTTTTAATAAAAATTTTGATAACTCTTTCCACTTTCCTGGAAGACTAAAAAAGGCTGCGGATTCTGATAAAAGGAAGAGCAGAGAAACAGTGAGCCATTAAGTTGGGTCCGACTTGTTTGCTTATCAGTTCGACCGTTGTGGTACAGAGGTACACTGGTACTGGTAGGCATGGCATTGTTTCAGCTGTTTCTAACAGTAATGTACTAAGTGTTCAAAAAAAAAAAAAAACAGTAATGTACTAGCATTGTTTTCTTTAGTCCCTTCATGGGCGGGCGTGAGTGAGGATCTACTGAAATTGGGTCCAACTTAAAATGGCGACATTGGGTCACTCAAAATTACACCATGATGAGAATCGAGTGGTCAGTAATCTATTATATCACCCGCACACGCACATTTTATGAATGCCGTGGAGTTGGCATGATAGTGTTGATGAATATGGATTGCTCAATTCTCATTGTGCAATTGTAGTTGACCAAGCTACACCGTCTGAAATTTGACCCAACTAGAGGGGATCCGGAAGGCAGCACAAAATCAACGGTATTGGATATTAAAAAACGACTAGTAATATGCAATTATACAACGGTAACTAATTCATACCCGGTAACTTCTAACTAAATATGCAAATAACAACACACCAAAGCTCATACGCTGATAAGTAAACATAGAATAATCCCCGCAGTGGCTCATTCTGTTACTATCCACATCAACAGAAGTCGTAAGTTTTTCAAATATGGGTCTGTTTAAACCAAATCTTACTGAAATCCTGTAGGGCTTTTATCACGTTTCATACGTCACTGCCTGAGAACAAACATGTGATGCAATCAAAAATGTTATCTTCAAATTATAAACCATAAGAAGTTCCAATTATAGATATCAAAATTCAGACAGGACTCATTTTGTTTAGCAGAATATTATCTGGGTCAACGTAAAATTAAACATAAACACCAGAAGCAAGCAGCAGGAATAAGGATCCAAAACCCTGCACCACAGAAATGAAAGTTCAGAATCAGCAATGAAAAGATTTAAAAGAGCAATTTACTATACTATGACAATTTAGGTGTAAAGATCCATTGATGTACCAAGAATACAGATGCCACCACCCCAGTTGTGAGCTCTTTAGCAAGGCTGCGATTCTTCCGAGAGGAGGTAGTTTCATAGCTGCAATAGACATTTACTGCAGTTAGAAAGCCAGAATGTAGAAGAGGAAGGGGAGACATGAGAATTGATTCCAACAAACGCTCACAACCTGAACAGCAAAATTCTTCTATATTCAAAACAAATGATCCTAACATGTCCTCCAATCATTCATGACTTTTAAACCATGATTACCACAATTCACTAAACCCTTAACGACCCGCAATTTGGGTACATTGATACCAAATGGCGTGGTTCGCGATCCAAATCATTAAAATGGACGACCCCAAAATGTAATACTAACTCTAAATTAATTCTCTTTAAAATATGTAGCACAAATATAAAATATATAATAATTAATTGCATGTATATAGATTTATAATTACATATTATTTTAGATAATAGAAAATCAAATACAACTATAAGATAAATGGTAACTAATTTAATGTTTATGAATATTTTGTAATATATAATATTCTATAGTAATGAAAACAATCTACATAAGAATTCTAAAACGAATTTTGACCCAAAATACATATCAGCTAAACTTATTCCCATTGCACCTCGTACCTAAAAAATTGTCATACCATGTACCGGTACTCATATCACGTACCAAAGTGACCCATGATCTAAGTAACATTGTTTTAAACTTTAAATTTTATATCATGCTAAAGACAAAGCAATTTGTCCAACTTGTCTCTACACTAGGGTATTTTTGCAGATGAACACTACATTTTCTTTTTGGATAGAAAACAAAACTTTCATTTCATAGAACGAAAAATGTAATAAAAATTACAGAAAATGGTGGATAAGAAATCCACCCAAAAAACAAAACAAAGAAAGAAAGACTAATGACCGAAAGCAGCCTTCCAATTGAGTTGCAAAACAGCCAAAGGGATATCACTACATTTATTTAACAATTCTGCAAAATTAAGTTCAAAACCCGTGTTCCATACTTGACACACCAGCTTACATGAGTAGCATAAATACAGGTACAAGTGATATAAGCTAGCTTCAAAATTGCCATAACAACATATATAAAATGGGCATTATGCGAAAAGGGCATTCGGGAATCCCCAAATGACCTTACCAACTATGCAGAACGAACCTGGTCCTGTAATGAACCTATTTTCTTTTTTTGTTTTTTTTCTATTTAAGGTCGAATGATGTTTCCAAAACCCACAATTCTCAAATCCCTATTCACAGAACAAGGGTAGTAGTACTTCATAAATATCCGACAAACATGAACTACTTTTGCAAGCAATTGGGAAATTACTCTTCAGATCTGAATTTCAATCAGGCATTACGAATCAATAAAAAACATCAAAACAACAAAACATAATATCAAATCACATAAATACTTTTGTTAAATTGTTGTTTGAACAGGTACTTTTGTTATTCACTGGCTGAAAATTAAACACAACTGTTTCAAATGATCATCATAACAATAAAATTGCTTACATGAAAAATGAAGCGGTGACAACAAGACCGATGGCGAGCATGAAGACAGCTAGGGTTGGGTACCACGCGTCTGGGACTGGGCTAGAGATCGGTTTCACTGACTGAGCCTTCACAAATTGCAAATGTAATAGAATCAGAAAACAAAAACATACAGAAATAGTAGAAAGAGAGAAACCCTATAAATTCTGGGAATTACCATGTTTTTTATTGGAGAGAGAGACACAGAGAAAGATCTTACTTTGCTTCGGCTCTTCCCTGTTGATCGTCGCGTGTGGGGAAAGAATACGAAGTCTAAACTTGGAGTGTTTTAAAAATCAGAATGAAGAGATTTTTAGGGCCACAGCTGTACATAAAAGCTCATGGACTTACTGGGCTTTGAATCCCTATCGTACCAAAATTTACTTAGTTTTATAGGTTTTTATTTTAATAGTAAAGAGTGTTCACATCAGTCTTACCTCAATTAATTCTTTTTTTTTTAATCTGATTAAAAATAAGTCATTTACACTAAGACTAGTGTATTTAAAAAAGATAAAATTTGTGATGGGACTCTTCTGAAAAGCCTATGATGAAGACACGTGTCCTCGGGGGTTTCTAGAACAATGTTGCTCGGGTTCAAGCACCATCGGCAAAAGCGTCCTCTCCCCCGAGGTACCTCTCATATAGGATCACATATTCGGTGCATTATACAACGACACGTGTCCTCGGTCACCATGTACCTCGGAAACACACCACCCCTTGGTCCCCCCGAGGTGAGCATTTCCTCGGTGCCGAGGGTCACTCCATCCTGGACGTTTCCTCTACTCCCGGATAAAGTTACTGACGTACGGGACATCAGCCTATGCCAGTCTAGACTATTCATCATGACCTCGTCTTACACAAGTAATGTCAGAACATGCTGGAATACAGAAGTCATAGCCAATAAGTGACGGACGCGTGGCATACGATATCACATCAAAAACAGGCAAACCGCATGCTATTGCTGACATGCGCTTTGGGAAGCAAACAATTAATTGCACCCTTCTGTTGACGAGACCGCATTCAATGCGGTAAGGTTCGGATATGAAAGGCAATAAATGCTCCTATTACGGAGCATTTATTACATCCTTCCCGAAAGGAGCATATTGTACCGTCGGCGTCCCGACGACTCAACATTGATTGCTCGGGACCCCGAGCAGTCAAATAGAGAAGACATTCCTCGTCAAATCAATACACACGCTACCAGTGCCTGATGATCACCTACTGACCACACTGACAGCAATCATGAGCTTCTGAGGTATAAATACTCCTCCCAAAAGGCAAAGCCGGTATGCAATCACAAAACTCTCGACTACAGTACATTTTTCCTCAGTGTTCTCCTTCCTCTTTCTCATTCAAAGACTGACTAGACCGTCGGAGGGGATACGCCGGAAAACACTCCGGCACCCTTCTAACTTGTTCTTTGTTCCAGGAAAACCTTTCACACGTACAGGATCGTTCTTCCTTTCCCAGGATCTTCCTTTACCGTTCCAGGTTGCCACCGTACCCCGTAGGCTGTCTCAAGGCCACTCAACCGGCTCACTCAAAGTTCACCAGGGGAGAGATCTGTTCCCAATATTTTATATATCGTGCAGGATCAAGCCCGCACAATCTGGCGCCGTCTGTGGGAAACGAGTAGTTTTCCTAATCTTTTCTCTAAAAAGAACAGTGACCATGGTGAACACCAGACAGAAAGGGAAAGGACCCCACCAACGGAGTCATGAGTTGCAAGCTCCCTGCCATCACGGAGGGAGGGATCGCACCAGTACGATTAAAAGTGCCTCTACTCGGTCAAGGGGGGTAACCCCTCAAACCAGTATGGGTATCAGGTCAGGAGGATCAGCCCCCTTGGCCCGTCAGCTGGCAGAGGTGATTGAAGAGAAATTTGGCGATAGATTACGTCAGCTGGAGAAGGACAATGTAAACGTCCTTAGCCGGCTCGACGAGTTTGCTGCCTCAGGCGGAGGGTCGAGGGATTCATTCCTCTCCCGAGGACTCCCCGTCCATGAGGCGGAGACAAAGGATCTAAGGAACCACCTGGATCACAAAGCAGAAAGCTCCAGGGCCCCGAAGCGACCCAAAGCCGGCGAATGCCATCTTGACAACCATTCCAGGAAAGCAAGGCCATTGGCCCTGGACGACCTCCGGCGAGGTTTATCCAGACGGAGGAAGGGAGATGAATCCGAGGAGGACTCAACCCAATCTACACGACGCCCAGGAAACGAGGGGCTTACCGACGAACCCAGAGACTTCAGGAGGCATCCCGTAAGGGAAGAAGTAGATCTCAGAGCCCGATTAGACTCCAGAAGAAAGGGCAAGACGATCCAGGACGAGGCCGAGGACGAAGTCATGCAAACACCCTTCACGAGGGAAATCAGTGAGATGGACGTCTCAAGAAAGTTCGTCGTGCCACGGTTCAAGACCTATGATGGGCGATCTGATCCCGATGCCCATATCAGACAGTATAAGCAGATGATGTCCCTCTATCATTCGGACCAACGGTTTCTATGCCGGGTGTTCCCTATGAGCTTGGGGGACTCCGCGATGAGGTGGTTCGAGGCGCTTCCCCCAAACAGTATTGGGTCCTGGAAAGAATTGACAAGGCAGTTCCTAACCCGATTCATCACGGGGAGTAAGCGCCCAAAGGACATTGGATCACTGCTGACCCTCAGGAGGAGGGAATCCGAGACTCTTCGCCAGTACGCCATCCGATACTGGGAAGAAGTCAATGAGGTCGAGGGATGCTCGGAGGTCATGGCAGCAGCATCATTCCGGCTCGGCTTGGCGAGGGACACGGACCTGTACCGATCCCTGACCAAAAAGACTCCCTCGGATATGGGGGAACTGATGGCCCGGATCAACAAGTACTCAAGGGTCGAGGACGAGATGGGGAGCAACAAAGGCCGAGCCCTCCAACCCAAGAGAAAGGAAAAAGAGCACGAAGATATTCCCCGGAAGGGATTGCTACCCCGTCCAGGGGGTTCGTCCAGAGGAGTTCACACCGTCTTCAAGGAACCCATCTTCAGGTTGCTCCATAAAATCAAACGCGAGCCGTTCTTCAAATGGCCGCCCAGGATGCAAAGCGACCCCTCCACCCGTGATCAAACAGTAAGGTGTTCATATCACCGGGATGTCGGGCATCGCACCGAGAGCTGCAGGGTGTTCAAGTCATTCTTGGAGAGCTTAGTCCGAGATGGATACCTGAAAGAATACATAGAGCCTAGGCCAGAAGAAAAACGAGCCCTTGCCCCGACCGAGGAACCGAACAACGTCATAGACGTCATCCATGTGTGTCCACTGGAGCGCCCCACGTCCAAAGAGCTCGAATCCGACCTCAAGAGGGTAGCTTTTACCAGAAAGGTAGCCGAAGGAGATGTGGGGCCATCAAGTAAAAGGGCCAGGATGGGTGAGCTTGGCATTACGTTCTCTGACGCGGATTTGACAGGCGTGGTGATTCCTCATAACGACGCCCTTGTCTTAACCCTAAAGATAGGGAAATTCGATGTCAAGAGAATCTTGATAGATTCAGGGAGCTCCTCGGAGGTGATGTACTTCGAGACTTTGAAGCGGATGGGCTTTGGCCCCAAAGACTTAACCAAAATCAGGACACCCCTCATCGGGTTCAACGGCTCTTTCGCCTTGCCCGTGGGGAAAATTACATTACCGGTCGCCACTGGTCCCTTCGTCATCGACACAGAGTTTGTGGTGATCGACACGGACTCCCCTTACAACGTGATTATGGGGCGAACATGGCTACACGCGTTGGGAGCGGTACACTCCACTCTCCACCAAAAGTTGAAGTTCGCCACGCCAGAGGGCGTCATGGAGATCCGGGGAGATCAAGCGTCTGCGAAAAACTGTTTTTATTCGGCCGTCCGAGCCGGGGCGTCCAGCCAGGAGAAGGGGCGAGCACCGGAAGAGATCATAGAAAAATAGCAATTACAGTCCGGGCGTCCGGGGATGGATGACCCCCGGGTAGACCCAGCGGAACGGTCGGTTGAAGACCTCCGGAAGGTGCCCTTGGTTGAAGGAGAAGAAGAGAAGTATTTCCTAGTTGGGACCTCGATGCCCGCAGCCGAACAGGAGGAGATGATCAGGTTCTTAAGAGGGAATACAGACGTGTTCGCCTGGAACGAAATGGAAATGACAGGAGTAGACCCCGAAATAATTACTCACAGGCTGCATGTTGACCCATCTCACAAGCCAGTAAAGCAGAGGCCACGACGTATGGCCCCGCATCACACCAACGCGGTCAATGAGGAAATAGACAAACTCCTAAGAGCCGACGCCATTCGAGAGATACAGTTCCCAGAATGGCTGTCCAATACAGTATGTGCAAAAAAGAAAGGGGGAAAATGGCGTGTCTGCGTGGATTTCACAGATCTAAACAAGGCATGTCCCAAGGACGACTACCCCCTGCCGAAGGTGGACCAGCTGGTAGATGCCACAGCCGGATATGAACGAATGGACTTCCTGGATGCTCGAGCAGGATATCATCAGATCCCTCTTTATGCCCCGGACCAAGAGAAAACGGCGTTTATCACTCCGAAGGGAGTTTATTGTTATAAAGTGATGCCGTTTGGATTGAAGAACGCCGGGGCAACATACCAAAGATTGATGAATCGGATGTTCAAGAGGCAGATCGGCAACACCATGGAGGTCTACATAGACGACATGCTGGTAAAAAGCAAACGGAGTGGTGATCATCTTACAGACTTGGCGGATACCTTCTCCACTCTCAGGGAGTATGGGTTGAAGCTGAATGCAGCGAAGTGCGTCTTCGGAGTGGAGTCGGGAAAATTCCTCGGGTATCTGGTTAGTCAGCGGGGAATCGAAGCCAACCCAGATCAGATTAAAGCAATCCTGGATATCCGAAGCCCTCGCACTGTCCGAGAGGTCCAGAAACTCACAGGGATGCTGGCTGCACTTAACCGATTTGTCTCACGCTCCTCGGATAAATGCAAACCCTTCTTTGGAGCAATCAAATGTGCTGGGAAAAGTATGTGGAGCCAGGGGTGCGAGGACGCCCTGGCTGGGATCAAAGAATACCTGAGGACTCTTCCGACCCTATCCGTCCCCATCCAAGGGGAGATGCTGTTCCTATACCTGGCAGTTTCAGAATTTGCAGTAAGCGGAGTACTTGTCCGTGAGCATGAACACCGACAGAAGCCGATTTACTACATCAGCAAGGCGCTCCTGGATGCAGAGACAAGATATCTGCCCCTAGAAAAACTGGCCCTGTCCTTGGTCACCACTGCAAGGAAACTGCGCCATTACTTCCAGGCGCACCCAATCACTGTCCTAACTGATCAGCCCTTGAAGGCAATTTTGAGGAAAGCTGAAC